AAACAAAGGCAATTAAAAATAGATCTCAAAGCAAATATAATAAAGAATAGACCCTGGGGCCGTAGATTTCACTAGTGGCTTCTCTCAAGAAATAGCATACGGTTGGTAAACAAATTACCGTTGGGCAATTGATAGAAGATCGAATAATTATGATGATATCCAAGGCAATGATCAATATATAGGCATCACATCCAAGATTAGTAGACCGACTCCTGCTTGCGTCTACTACTATTACTCCACACATCGACCGCTATCCAGCATGCGTCTAGTGTATTAAGTTCATGGAAAACTGAGTAATGCAATAAGAACGATGGCATGATGTAGACGAGATCTATTCATGTAGGAATAGCCCCCATCTTGTTATCCTTAATAGCAACGATACATGCGTGTCTTGCTGCCCCTTCTGTCACTGGGAAAGAACACCGCAAGATCGAACCCATCACAAAGCACCTCTTCCCATGGCAAGAAAAAATGATCTAGTTGGCCTAACTAAACCAAAGATTCGAAGAAGAAATACGAGGCTATAAATAATCATGCATATAAGAGATCAAAGAAGACTAAAATAATATTCATGGATATAGATCTGATCATAAACTCAAAGTTCATTGGATCCCAACAAACACACCGCAAACAGAGTTACATCAAATAGATCTCCAAGAGACCATTGTATTGAGAATAATAAGAGAGAGGGGAAGCCATATAGCTACTGCCTACGGACTCGTAGGTCTATGGTGAACTACTCACGCATTATCAGAGAGGCACCAATGAGGATGATGAACCCCTCTGTCATGGTGTCTAGATTGGATCTCGTGGTTCTGGAACTTGCAGCGGCTGGAATTGTATTTCGTCGACTCCCCTAGGGTTTCTGGAATATTTGGGGATTTATAGGGCGAAGAGGCGGTGCAGGAGGTCACTGAGGGGGCACAACCCCCCTAGGCGCGCCTGGGCCTCCTGGAGCGCCCTGGTGGGTTGTGCCCACCTCGGGCCTCCCCTCTGGTACTTCTTTGGCCCACTGGGTGTCTTCTGGTCCAAAAAAATTCTTCAAAAAGTTTCGCTCCGTTTGGTACTGATATTCTGCGAAGTACAAAACAAGCAAAAAACAACAACTAGTACTGGGCACTATGTCAAGGTTAGTTCCAAAAAATGATATAAAGTTGATATAAAATGATTGTAAAACATCTAAGAATGATAATATAACAGCATGGAACAATCAAAAATTATAGATACGTTGGATACGTATCAAACCCAAGGAAAATAAAATTAGCCAGGTCATGCAACATTGCGAGATATAGGAAACATAGAAAGAAATCCAGTCCTTCGTAGATGCTGGCCTTGTTGGAGATACTTTGGCCAGCGTCCCCTGCCACCTCCTTGCTTTGACACAACAAGGGAATAAGTGCCTCCCATGGAGGGTGCAGATGAAGGCATACAGGGCTAATGACAAGGTCGATGGGTGGTCGGCGATCCACCCATGCCTCACTAGAGGCACATCATAGAGTGTTTTTAGATCCACAACCTAGGTGGTGGAGGTCTTCCTGCGCAATAAGATCATTGATGCCCCCCCCAGAGCGCCACATCAAAGGAAATTGAAGACAAATTCACCCCCAATTCTTTTATTGCCCCCACGATGGCTCGGGAAGAGGGGATGGAGATCTTCGTCGGCAGATTTGGCACACTGCCAAGCTTACTGAGGGAGGAATCATAGAATCTACCAACCAACTTCTAGCTTCCTCCATAGGGGAAGAGCACAACAACCATCAAGCACTATATGCATGGCAATGAAGAACCACGGACAAGCACAAAGCGGCATGCCCTTAAGGCAAGTATTATCATATATCTACTATGTACATAGGCTCCTCGAGCTCCCATTCCCCTTCCACCCTGATTGACGACAATGACAGACGAAAAGGGGAGATGGGTCGGGAGAGCGTTCGTGCCTCTCAACGAGAAAGGGAATTAGGGAGAGATAAAGAGGATAAAAGAAATGAGATCTTACGGAACCATGATTATGTGATTAACTAATGGTGTTAAGTTTTATCTTATTTTAAAATTATTCAACACCATGCCTATGAATTTGGGATGTCTGCTATAATCATGTAATGCCTCATTTCATGTTTCTTTCACGGTTATCTTTGAAGTCTCTGGACCTGAGAAAAATTACGAAACTCGTTGAGGGAGAGCCCATGGTCGGGGTCATGGCTTTGGTGCTCAAGATAATGCCCAACCTGTTGGAGTTGTGTGGTCAGCTTGTTTCACCAATATCAATTGTGTGGTGGAAGGTGGTCTCACTTGGGGTCTCAACTATAATTATGACGCCCATAGTGCTCCCCCTCTTGATGCCCCTGCAAGGCGTCCGCCAATGAGGAAAGTGGTAGTTTTGACTTTACTAACATTCATTCGCCCAAGTCCATTGTGTAGGTGGTTTATGTGGTTGATGCAAATGGTATGTTGGTGCTTGCTATTGGAAGCCATATCTTTAAAAAAATTGTCATTTCCTTGGCAGGTTGCCTGCTGCTAACCCTTAACTAGGCAAGATAATTGACTGCATCGTGAAGGAGAAAACAATAAGCGAGAAGGGTGGCTCTAACCCCGATCCGGTATTTCAACATCCAAAATGAGAAACCAAATAGGAGCAAAAGCAAAAAGGATGGCGCTAGCTCTCGATTAGGCATCCAAAAAATAGAAAACAATTAGGAGCAAAAATATATGGGTGACGCTAACGGGGAGGTGTCTTTTGTTACATAATGCATGGTTCCCATTTTTGGGGTTGTCAACATGGATTTGGTGGTGTCTATTAGTTTTTCGATGTGTTATCCTCAAGCTGTAGCCAGCCGATTGAGGTTCCTTTGTGGTGTAGTGACCCACGTGTCGATGGTTTACAGAAGTAGCGGCTTGCATGCTTTTGTTGACTGTTGTAGTGGTCGTTGGACTTTGGTGTTTGGCACTAGTCTGCATGCATTGTACGGTTGTTGCTTGTTGGTATTTTATGGTCAAGTTTGTAATGGATTTCGCTCAATTTTCACTAATTATTCAGGCAAGTATTTTCTTGCTTAACTAATGGGTGAGTCAAATAATTTGTGTGTATTTCAAAATTAGAATTAACGCAACAGTTGAAGGAACCTAAGGAAAATAAATTTACCCAAGTCCTTGAACTTTTCGATAAGCACCCGTTATAGGAAACATATAAAGCAAACCAGTCCTTGAGTAGATGTTAACCTCGTTGGAGACACTTTGGCCAACGCCCCTTACCGTTGCCTTGCTTAGAGACAACAAGGGAACAAGGGCCTCCCATTGGAGGTTGCAGATGAAGGCACATGCAATAAGAGAAGTCGACGAGCGGTCGACGATCCATCCATGCCTTCCAAGAGGCATATTGGAGAGTTTTTTGTCCTTAGATCCACGGCAGAGGTCTTCCCGTGCAATAAGAAAAGCAAGAGATCATCGATACCAGCCTTCCCCTCCGAGCGCCAGACCAGGGAAAGCTGATGACAGATTCACACCCAACTTTTTACTAACCCCGCGACTGCTCAAGGTGAGGGAATGGACATCTACGCTGGTCCGATTTGGCCCATTGTCAGGCTTATCGAGGGAGCACTCATTAGGTCTACCATCAACTGCTAGCTTCCTCCATAGAAAACAATTAGGGGAAAAGCATGACAACCATCATACACCATCTGCATGGTACATTGGAGAACTTCAAACAAGCACAAAGCCACATGTCCTTAAGTTGACTACTACTACCCCAGTTTACTATGTAAAGAGTCTACTCGAGCTCCCCTCCCTTTCCCACTCATGTTGGCGACAACGACTGAGGAGAAGGGGAGAGGAGTCGGGGTAGAACGTTGGGGACTCTCGACGAGAAAAGGGACAAGGGAGAGATAAAAGAGAAGAACGAAAATGAGAGCTTACATAACCATGGTTATGTGATGAGCTAATGGTGTTAAGTGTTATCAGATTTCAAAGCTATTCAACACTATGCCCGTGAATTTGGGATGCCAGCTACGAACATGTAATGCCTCACTTGATGTCATTCTTTAGTGGTTAGCTTTGAAGTCTTTGGACCTCGGCAAAATTACACAAAACTACAGGACTCCTTGAGGGGTTTTCTTGAAAGTTTGGATGAGCTCTTCCTACCGTTGGATCCATGATCCAACGACCCACGGGCTCCAGGGCTGGAAGCACATGATCATCCTCTTCCCCCTACAACCACAATATTACTCCACTACCTAGTTCACAAAATCAGCCGGCTAAGATAACACAAAGATACGACAAAGTGAATTTCAAAAAAGAAAAAGATACGATAAAGTAAAGCCGACATGCGACGCTGTGATCTGATTAGTACAGCATTAATTATACCCAGTGGGATCATTCCTTCGATGGAAACAGGTATTCATAGCAGCAGGATACCAAATGGATGTTTTCCCGTTTTTCCCCCTCCGGGATATTTTTCCGCCGATCAAACAGCGCAAAGCTCCAGCAGTAGCGAGCCATTTTGGACGCATCGAAACGAATCCAGCCAGGCGGCAGGCAGGCGGGGTCCGCGCGCCACGCTGCGTGACGCGGACCCGCCGACGGCGTGGCCCACCGGGCAGCCCCTCCGCCCACTCCACCTCCCCACCCCCCCTCCCGCCTGGCTCCTCCTCCACCTCGCTGGCCGCGCCCCTCCCCCCCTGGGTATATAATCCTCCCCGCGACACACGCCCACGCACCGCCCCCACACACGCGCCACCGCAGACGCAACCCGCGGCACGGCCCAGAGCCAACCTACCGACCCAACGAACGAGGCACGGCGCGAGCCCCCACCGCACCGCACCCTTCCGCAGCCTCGCCTCGCGCCCTTCCGCCGCCGCCGTGCCCTCCGTTCCGTCCGCGGCTCCGGCCGGCAGGCAAGCCGTCGTGGGTCCCACGGGGATCGTGCGCGTGAGGGAGGCGAGGCCGAGGGGCAGGGGCACGGGGGCGCGGCCGGCGACGCGCGGGGGGCGGAGGGAGGGAGGGAGGGGATGGAGAAGTACGAGGCGGTGCGGGACATCGGGTCGGGCAACTTCGGGGTGGCGCGGCTGATGCGCAACCGCGAGACCCGCGAGCTCGTCGCCGTCAAGTGCATCGAGCGCGGCCACCGGGTTCGTTCGCTTGTCTTCCTCCCCCCGTCCTCTCCGTTTATTTATTTTTGTGCTACATACAAGGAGGAGTAATTGGGCTGGCTGGCTTGCTTGTCCGGCGGGAGGAGGATTAATTACCGTTTTGGGGATCTGTGCCCTGCAGATTGACGAGAATGTCTACAGGGAGATCATCAACCACCGCTCGCTGCGCCACCCCAACATCATCCGCTTCAAGGAGGTTCGTGCAAAAATTCGTCCACACGGGCCAATTCTCTCTCTGTTTTTTAAAACAAAATTTTCGCGTTTCCGAACGCAAATCGTTTGGTGTTCACGGGGTAGGAATGGCGCGGGTGATTTTTTTTTCCTGTAAAAAATTCTCCTAACTGCATGTGGTGAGGAATCTTCGATTGCTACCTAATGTTTGATACCTCCCTTCCTTTTCCCCCTTTCCTGATTTCGCTTTACACAAGCCCCTTGTATATTTGTGTGGTTTGGGCGTGGATTCTCATGTTACAGATGCATGTCGCCGAGAGGCACCTTCTCCGTGGCAATTATTCACCTGAAACATAAAGGCATATCTTTCTGTTTGCATTGCAATAGCACAAACTTTTGATGGAAGAAGGAATCAGATTGTGCTTTTAGCTTTATTTACTTGTTCCTTATCACAACCACGCGTCCACACACATGATTTTAATTAGTTGTTCTGGGGGGAAATTCTCCAGGTGGTACTGACGCCAACAAATCTTATGATTGTCATGGAGTTCGCAGCAGGTGGGGAGCTGTTTGAGCGAATCTGTGATCGTGGGCGCTTCAGTGAGGATGAGGTCTCGTGATTTATTCCTCAATTTTATAATCTTATGGATTTGGGTGGAAGAGCAATACTTAATCTGGTTTTGCTTCACGCAGGCAAGGTATTTCTTTCAGCAGTTGATCTGTGGTGTGAGCTACTGCCATCACATGGTACGAACACGCAAGCAAGAGTATTGTTATAATAATTTACATTCAAATCAGCAGCCCACTTTCCTGAATCACAAATGACTAGTGTGCCTAGTGTTTCACCTTTCAAGTTTCTTTTATGTTTCACGGCTGGTTTCACTGTTAATCTTCTGCAGTCTTATGTATGAGCCAAGATCTAGTGTACTGTATTTCTATTAACTTGATTCTCGGGACAATCTTGTCATATACCAGCAAATATGCCATAGAGATTTGAAGCTGGAGAACGTTCTCTTGGATGGCAGTGCAGCTCCACGGCTCAAAATATGCGATTTCGGCTACTCCAAGGTTGTCCCTGAACCCACATATTGAACCTTCAAGTTATCGATGTCTGTAAATTCTCACAGAAACTGTTCTTCCCATTTCTGGATCAGTCATCAGTATTGCATTCAAGGCCCAAATCAGCAGTGGGGACGCCAGCATATATTGCACCAGAGGTGCTATCCCGCCGTGAGTATGATGGAAAGGTGAGTTTGTATTTTTTTATTGTTTTACATTTACCTTATCTGGTTTCTGTTAGTCCTTTGCAAGATAATCTGTTAGGTCATTAGAACAAACCTCTTTTCTAGGCATTGTATGTGCAAATATCTCTTTCATCTTGTGGTTTTCACATGAGAAATATAGTATGCAAGTTTTACTCATGATTTCACTGAAATTACGAGTATTTGGGCATTCTGCCAAGCCTTCCTGATTGGTTAAATAGTCGGTGCCTTGACACTATTTAAACTTCTCCATTGAAACCATTTAGTGGATGCACTTGCGTCATGATTGTGACGTTACATATGCTTGGCCCCTCAATTTAATCAAAAGGCCGGTTGAATGACGGGCACCCCAAGGCTAAAGGAGTACCTTCCAAAAGCTTGCATTATCTAAAAGCAGGGAAAAGATTTTAGGAAATACCTGATATTTGGCTTTATTTATTAAATTGTGATGGGCAATACATTATATTATATTTAAAAATACCACGAATATTGGACAAACAGATTATCTGAAATTCTCTTGGCAAGCTTCTGTTTGATGAGGAGTCATTGTCAGCATGAGGTGCTGCAACATCTTCTGTTTGGTTTGTCGAGGTAAGATGTACAATAAAGGATGTTGACATCGGAAAAGTGGAGTGGGCTATTTGGTGAATGCAGACCATCCATCCACAAAATAGGTTCTTATCCTCTAGATTCTACATGTTTCTAGATATGATTCACCTTTTTAACTATTCATGGAGTTTTTGGATTCTAGTTTCTTGTTCAAATCATTTTATCGCAAATAGGTAGGTAGGTTTGCCTGGTAACAGAAGTAAGTCCAGCTCGGCCCCTATCGTGGCAAATTTTCTGCAGCCTACTTTCCTGCCTTGCTGTTTGCTTCTATTGAATCCATTGTATTTTATGAAGTCTAAATTTTGGAGCATGGTAAATGCATGCAAGGATGTCTAATTCCTGTCCACATTGTAGGAAATGTGATGTCATGGCTTCCTTGATACAAAGATGCACTGTATTGGCATATATTATGCAAATGTTGGGCTGTATTCCATAGCTTTTCACGGGAATGGAGAACTGTAGCATTGGCATGCCTGTTTCACTTAGTTTTTGCCATGTTGGTGCTTCCCTGATCGACCCAGCGACTGTGGGAGTGGTGGGTGGATTCATACACGTGACTATGCTCCATCAAATGAAGCCAGTTATTTTGCTTTAATCATTATTCATGGCTACCGGGGCTAGTATAATTTATAAGTTGGTTTTGCTGATCAAGGCGATGGTCCTTGTGGTTAATTTGTAAGTTCAGTATGCTAGCACACTGAAACTTCAACAACGCAAGGAAGAACCTTTAGGCTAAATGAATAATGCAACAACAGAACAGAAGTACAAAACTGCACTAGAACTGCATCATTAGGATGCTTTATCTTGACACTGCAGAGTCAACACAATTTTCCTGTGCGGTTACTGAATCTGAAGTTTAGTATCACAGTAAACCATGCTAATCATAGTCACATAAGAGATTGTCAGATGTCGGTCCTGAACTTTGTATGTCGTCCTAATGGATATTAGCTAGTATCTAGTGACATGAGACTATTCTTCAGCTATATACTAATTAGCAGCAATGGATCTTGTTAATGTAGCTTGCAGATGTGTGGTCTTGTGGGGTGACTCTTTACGTCATGCTTGTGGGAGGCTATCCATTTGAAGACCAGGATGACCCCAAGAATATACGCAAGACCATTCAGGTGACATTCTAGAATTATGCGACGCAGATTTATCCTATTTTGGCTCACGGTATTTCCTTTTGCACGTCAATTGACCCTCATTATGGCCACTCTTCATCTACAGCGAATAATGTCCGTGCAATATACTATACCTGATCATGTCCACATATCCATGGAATGCCGACAGCTTATGGCCCGTATCTTTGTTAATGTCCCATCGAAGGTAATGACCTCAATCTGTATCTTTCGCCTTCTTCTTTTTAGGAAGTCGCCATGTTTCATAGCAAGTGACATCGCGTTGACGTGATAATCTGAATGCTGTCCAGAGAATCACGATGAGGGAGATAAAGAGCCACCCATGGTTCCTGAAGAACCTGCCAAGGGAGCTCACAGAGACGGCGCAGGCCATGTACTTCAGGAGGGATAACGCCGTGCCTTCTTTCTCGGAGCAGACTTCAGAAGAGATCATGAAGATCGTCCAGGAGGCAAGGACCATGCCAAAGTCATCCAGGCCAAGCTATGGTTGGGGCGATGAGGGTTCGGACGACGAGGAAGAGAAGGAAGAGGAAGAGAGGCCAGAAGTGGCGGAGGAGGAAGAGGAGGATGAGTACGACAAGAGGGTCAAGGAGGTTCATGCAAGCGGAGAGCTCCGCATGAGCTCGCTACGCATATCATGAAAGTATGCGGAGTAAGTTACCTGTAGATAATCGGCCTATCGTGGAACTTCTGCGCTCAGTGGGATATGCAATTTTGTGGAAGTTTGCTTCTGTTTGGTTTTGGTTCCTGTAACATAATTTACATGGGACAAAGGGCGCTTGATGAATGCTGTAATATTTGGCTCTTGACAGAGAAACTTATGTACATATAAAGCGTATGCTTGTATTCCCTGTGATTGGGAGAAATGGCGCTCCTCAGGCTATCCAGCGCTTCATGTTTAAAGCTTGAAGTATTGCCGACGTATTCTGTGGTTCGCCCTAAAACTGGCAATTTGTGCTACAAGTGGGAGTTGTGGTGGATGCACCCTCTTCAGAATGTCCCTGGGCTACTTCTGGTATAACAGTTAGCACCACCAACCCATCCAACCGATACCAAATACTCCTACCAGTTGGTGCAGCCATCTCCACGTGCTGTGATGACCGCAAGCACCACCTACAGCTACAGCTCCTAAGCTGGTATCATGAGGCACTTGTCTTTCTTTCTCAACTTTGCAGAGGCATGCCAGGATTCAAACCTTCTTAATTGTCTCAACAGTCAACGAGCTAGCACCATCACATAGCTCCGATGATATGCTTCTAGCACGGAGGTGCTCTATTTCACGGTTGCTTGATTTGCAACTGAATTAATAAGTCTCAAGAGAAAGTAGAAGAACCAAGATGCACTATGCAGAGGTACAGCTATGGTTAGATAGCATCACAGGGGCCTTCACAGAATCACAGGCTACACTGCATGTCCTCTTTCTTGGAACATCAACGCAGCATAGCAAAAGTAAAAGAACAAAGATGCACGCTGTTTAGCTATGTCTAGGTACAACTACAGGAGCATTCACAGAATACTCTGCATGTCCTCTTTCCTTTGAACATCAACACATCATGGCATATAGCATATCACGGATTCAATAATTAGCTGCGAGCTTACAAAATACAACATGAGTCACAAGCTATTCCTACTGCATTGACCCACTGTACTGCTTATTTACTCATCAGCAACAACCTCTGGCTGGGGCGCCGAAGTTACCTACGTTGAGGTGAACTGAATGCTACGGAGACGACAGGAACCGACATGTACAGTGCCAATGTCTCGGGTGAGATGAGATCACAACTGTACTTTCACATATGCTTTGCCCGGTTATCTTCTCTATCAGCTAGCATGGATTAGTATTGTACTATTATTACTATCATAGTATACACTTGCGCTTCAAAAAAAGTGAGATGACATTGTAAAACTAGTCAGTCACCTTTCGCGATCACAACAAACACGTCGTCTAGAGACCACTTCTTAATCTCCGACTTGTGCTCTGGATTAATGATTGCCTCATCGGTGTTGGCAAGCCGGTAGCCGATCACAATCTCGTCTCGCTCACGAGCCCTCACCATTATGTCCAGGAAACTCAATTCCTCTTGTTCATACAGGTAAAACTCAGCAGACCGTATGCACATCTCGTTGCCCTGTACCATAGGATTACCACGGTCAGATCTTATGCAGGTCACTGGGTAGTTAATTTTTAAAAACTATCATCTGGTACGACATTAAATAGAGATGCTTCAAGTCATTGTTAACTGGTAAGTGTGGCTTGTACACATAGATTGTGGAAAAAACATGTTATTGCAATATTAAAGCACAACTCAAATTATGTCACAATTTAGATAGTTACCTCCTCAGCAAAAAGTTCCTCAAGAACTCTGTTGATTTGCTTGTCTTCTGCTACCATTGCTAATGCCATACTGACAAGTTCATTTGACAGGACGTAATCGCTGATTTTGGAGACAGATACAAGGTTTCTAGTTCTTGAGTCCAGTATCTCACTGATTATTATTGATTTGTCCGATGCATGCTGCATCTTCCGAATCCAGGAGCTGTGAGAGAAGCCATTGTGATGTAGAGGTGATTTTGACTCCTTCGACGGAAGACGTTTGGACTACAGAAGAAGGTACACATCAGTAATGCAGCGGTCATCTACCTATGCACTGTCAGTTATATATGCTACAGCCAGGCTGCTTGTTGCTCACCTGAACATCACGAATTAGAAGAAGTGTCGCTAAGGACCGTGAATCCGATTGTACAATGGAGTCCTCCACCGACTCATCTGCAAGAATTAAAATCTGTGGTTTCAAAGTTAGCAATGGGTGTATTTCAGCATAGGTAAACTGAGTAAAAGAAATGCGAGCCAAGATGACGAACTATTTTGGACAACATTGACGGTTCCATAAAACAATCATTGTTTGAATAGAAACGTTCAGAGTACTACATTTGTCTCTATGATAGGGCATATACTCACAGAATCAAAGGTCTCAAGAGGCAAGCTTTCTAAGTGCCGCCTGATGACAGCATTCCCTTCTTTGTGTACAAGTTTAATGTTTGTTAGTCCAAGAATATCCATACCACCGTCAGTCAGTTTTGTCTCCCTCGCCTTCTCTGGCACCTCATTGAACATCCACAATTCAGAACCTGGAGCAAGAAATGCTTCTAGAACCTACACAACAGCACCAACATTCATATCCAAGATGTGCGTAAACGTACATCGATCCTGGCAAAATGCACAGGTTAACTTACCATTATCATATCATGGATGTCACGTCGCCAACCACAGAACAAAATTTTCTCTGGATATTTAGGCGGGGTGGGAACGTTAGGTAGAAAACCCTTATGCACCTGGCAAGAAATAACATAGATCAAATAAAAATCTAAGTGAATAGGATTTTTTTTATCTGGGCAGTATGACTGGCTTAATGATAGTTGGTACAAAGAGACTAAATATTATACAACATTAAGCATAGCTCAGAAAATTAACCTCTGGTAGAGGAGCAGGTGCATAAGTATCATCATCTTCTGCTATAACAAGGATTTCATCGCCTTCTCTTAAAACATAATCATCATCCGGATTCATTAATATACTTCCAAATCTTGACGCAAGCTTCACTCCGCAGGGCACAGCATCAGGGAATGAGATTAACACATCCCCAAACCGCATGCCATCCAATTCTGGCCATCTTTTTATATAGAATTCTGCATTTTCAAATCCCAAAATATCCTCCCATATCTGCAAAAGAATATGGTGGGTTAGCAATCATGGAGATACATCCCGGGCAAAAATACAGGACCAAACAGCATTGCAGTTTAGTATGCTAGGCTCAAAGATTTTGTTTCTTTTCTTTCTTACTGCAGAACCAAGTGTTACATTGAAATGTACCTGTGCCAAGCCAGGTTGGAGTGCACACTGTATCATCAAACGTCCAATGACATCATGGGCAACAACTGTTTCAATTAGTTCACCTCCAACCAATTTCACTAAAGGTTCATTGTCAAGGTCACTCATCTCTACAACAATATGCCCCCTTAAGCCCTCTTTTACTCCAGTCAGGCTCAGTACGACACGCAAAGCTCGTGCATCACTCTGGGGGGGAATGGAGAAAATGAAAGTTGGGCAAATAATTATATGAGCTGTCAACCCCAAAATAGTAAAGGTGGATAGAAGAAAACACTAACTTGGTCTGCATTTTCATCAGATGCTAAAACAATAATAGCACGCGCTTTGGAAACAGAAACCTGTGGGGAGGAAAGGACATTTCAGGTAGATATTTACATGACACATAGCATGAAAAGAAACCATCCAAGGAGTTTATTCATAGTGGAGGATCAGAAGAACAGCTCGGTACCTTCTTCAGATCTGCTAGGATTAGAGGACTGCCGCTTCTACATATTACAGATGTTCCCATGAAATCAAATCCTAGCTTTCCTATGTCCATCTCCATCTCTTCCTTGTCTCTTTCTGCCAGGACAACAACTACACCACCACCAATGCTTTTATTGGCTATAGCCAGCTGCTTCAGAAGAGAGCCCTGCTCCACATAGTGAAAAAAGTAGTAAGCCAGTTGATTCAGTCTTTATCAATACCAAAGCAAGCAAATAAACCTCAGTGCTCAGTGCACAACTTCCCTCAGTAAGATTGGAGGATAATGTACAAAATGAAGTGCATAAAGTAACTAAAAATGGTGAAAAAAGACCAACATTTAACTTCCGAAGTTGGTTTGTCTAAAATGGAATTTAAAATACAGACTTAAGTTTTGAAAGCATAATGTGCATTGAATCCTTGAAAATGAAATCCTACAAGTCAGCATACATTAACATTTCTTACAAACCTACTTCAGAAACGCACTACTAGGGGATCGTCAGGTTCTATCACAGGACGCTTTACTAAGTTATCTGCTGCCTGACTGATTTGTTACTTATTAGTATTGATACTCAAGCAATATTTCACCAGAACATTACCAGCTTGTCGCTCCATCCGAGGATTAGTATATGGTTGACCTCTATCACCTCACTTTTCCCCTTACGCCAAGAATCCACCTTCTCCGATATCGCATCTGACACAAGCCCGAGCATCGTGGCAAACACCAGCATGCCACCGGCGCTAATCGACACGGACACAATCCTTGGACCGAGGCCAACCTGGTCAGCATGGTTTCCTGAATCTGCCACAAAAGTCCAGGAAAGCCAAAGAGCCTCCAGGAACCCACTGCCACTGACAGAATACAGCGCAATGCCGCCCGAGGCAATGAGAACTACAGTGGCGATCAGGAGGGCAAGCAACTTAGCATACGGATGCCCTGAGAAGAACACATCAACCTTGTAAGCAATCCTCTTCTCGAGAGGCACTTCTTCCTCGGTGCTTCTCGTCCTGCTGGAATTTTCTTTCTTTCGCCGCAGCTGGTCAGCGTATTTAAAAAGGAACAACGGTATTGCCAGTGCAAGCATCGGAGCTAATTTCCAGCTCTCGGAGCTAACAAAGCCGGAACCAGGGTCCCCAAGAACCCAGGATGTCTCGGCAGTTTCCTCACTGTCCGCAGCATCAGCACCACCACTGCATGATCTGACCTTTTTCTGCAAAAATGCAAGTGCTTATAAGCTGTCAGAGATATCAGTTATGGTGAAACCAACTGGCACCACACAATTTTGGCAGGTGAAATAGATAGGTAACCTGGAGCCCCAGCACTTTCATCCACTGCCAGAAAGCCAGGGAGGAGCTTGTGACGGTTACGACCAGCAACTGCAAGCAATAAATTCACGGGGGAAATGGACCAGAATAGTAAGTCAGCTGTTGCAAACAAGGCTGGAGCTTTAAATGGCATTGCTTACTAGTAGGAGGCAGTAGGGAGAGAGATCGAATCGGCGAGCGCGCGGCGGCGGCGGCGGGGGCGAGAGCGGCCTCCTCTCCCCGAGCAGCGCCGACTGCTTGACCACGGAGGCCAGGGACTTCTCCTCGTCTCGCTGCGAGGCCGCCACCCTCCGCGTGGTGGCCGGGTTGCCGCTAGGGTTCCGGCGGGCGGGGGCAGCGGCGACGGCGGGCGGCGGCGTCTGCTGCTGGCGCGGCGGGCGCGGGCGCGAGGCGTGCGGGCCGAGGAAGGAAGGGTAGCACCAGTCGCGGTCGAGCACGCCGGCGTTGGGCGCCGCGTGGGAGGGGTCGTCCACGGCGACGGTGAGCCGCCTGGGCACCTGCTGGAGGGGCGCCGCCGCCGCCGTGGTGGAGCGGCGGGCGAGGATGCCGCCGTCCCTCCCGCCCCGCCTTACCTCGGCGGAGGCGGCCGCGGCGGCGGAGCCGGCGATGGTGCGCGATTTGGCGAGCTGCGGCCGCTGCGCGCGCGGGGCCGGGTCGTCGCCACCGCCTGCCGCGCGGCCGGCGCCGGGGTCCGCCTCGCCGCCGTCGCTCTCCGCCATTAGCGAGCCCGAGCTCGAGCTCCCCTCCTCCCCCCGTCCGGTGCTCGCTCAGCTGGTGGTGGCAGTAATAAGCCACTCCGCGGAATTCTTCCACTTTAACCACGTGATTAGTTATCCCGGCGAGGCCGAGACAGGATCGGCAGACCATGGCTAGTGGGCCGGCCCCACCTGTCAGCCGCCGTGAGCGGTTAGTTGACCGTGACTGCGGAGTGGGCGGGGCAGCGGCGGCATGTCGTAGCTAGCTCGGCGGAGGTGGTAAACATAAACAGCGCAACAGTAACCGCGGGAGAGGAAGGGGGCGGCGATCGTGGCGCCGTGGGCAGCCGCAAAGGCAGCTGGAGGCCGGAGCACAACACCAACAGCGACGGATTCCCCGTCCCGTGCCGTGATCTGATCTCTCCTCCTTTTCATTCCCGCGCGTAAACCGCCGGACCGGGCCTGGGTCATGTGGAGCCAGTGGGGCTCGGGTGATCCGGTCCGTCCGCCGCTCCACTTGGCGGCGAGGGCGCCGGATCTCGGCCGTCCGTCGGCGAATCGCCGGGCCGGACGAAACTTTGCCGGCCCATGTTATTGTAGGGGAAAAAAAGGAAGTTTAGTTAACTGCTTCAGCTGGCGGTGTAATTTGTGTTGGCATGAGAGCATGTGCTCGTGCGTTGTTAATTTCAGGACAGAACTTTCCATCCCTGATTGGAGCAGTAATTCGTTTGTTTATTGCAGCGGCTCGTATGGCACGGCAACAGGGCACATGTCCTCGTGTTTCTTTCAGGTTTGCTTGCTTTCTTGCTAGCCTAGCGAGCATCCAAGGAGCACACAAGTTTGTTTTTCCTTTTTAGTTCGCCCTAAAAGAGTTATTTTTCCTTCAATCGTCCATTTTCCCCTTTAGAGAATACCGTTTGGCAATCTGTGATGTGACGGAGAGAGTAATTACTAGTTTTTTCCAAAAAAAACAACAACAACATGTCTCTAGTATCTTATAAATTGGAGTTGTTGGCGGTGTTGGTGGTGAGTTCTCTCCCCCGCGCCACCCCAATCTTCCTCATCCATATAGAACCCACCAGACCCTCCAATTTGATGAGAGAAAAATAAAATCACATCTTGCAATGGTGCTCTCATCGCTGCCACACTTACGCAAGTGCAGCGTTGGCTACTTAATTGAATTTCTTTTCCTTAGTATTAAATGATGCATCGCTTCTTGTATACAACTACAATGCAATTTGAATCATTTTTTGTGGTAGTAATGCACGAACAATGAGCTAGTCTACTAGTAATAGTAGAAACTACTCAACAACGAGATACAAGCGAATACAGTGTGACCCTTCTTTTGAGAAAAAGATAAAGTGAGATCCAAACTACCACATTTTTGTACATAGAACCTACACCGGCCTGAATCGCCTTCAGGAGGCTTTATACGGCATGTGGGTGGATGATACGTCTTCAGCGTATCTATAATTTTTTATTGCTCTATGCTATATTATCTATTGTTTTGGACATTATTAGGCTTTATTATCCATTTTTATATTATTTTTGGGACTAACTTATTAACCGGAGGACCAGTGTAGAATTGTTGTTTTTTTGCCTATTTTAGGGTTTCAAAGAAAAGGAATATCAAACGGAGTCCAAACGGAATGAAACCTTCGGGAACGTGATTTTCTCACCGAACATGATCCAAGAGACTTGGACCCTACGTCAAGAAACAAAGGAGGAGGCCACGAGGTAGGGGGCGCGCCTACCTCCCCCAGGCGCGCCCTCCACCCTCGTGGGCCTCCTGTTGCTCCACCGACGTACTCCTTCCTACTCTATATACCTACGTACCCCCAAACGATCAGATACGGAGCCAAAACCATAATTCCACCGCTGTAACTTCCTGTATCCACGAGATCCCATCTTGGGGCCTGTTCCGGAGCTCCGCCAGAGGGGGTATCCATCACGGAGGGCTTCTACATCAACACCATAGCCTCTCCGATGAAGTGTGAGTAGTTTACCTCAGACCTTCGGGTCCATAGTTATTAGCTAGATGGCTTCTTATCTCTTTTTGGATCTCAATACAATGTTCTCCCCCTCTCTTGTGGAGATCTATTCGATGTAATCTTCTTTTTGCGGTGTGTTTGTTGAGACCGATGAATTGTGGGTTTATGATCAAGATTATCTATGAACAATATTTGAATCTTCTCTGAATTCTTTTATGTATAATTGGCTATCTTTGCAAGTCTCTTCGAATTATCAGTTTGGTTTGGCCTACTAGATTGATCGTTCTTGCATTGGGAGAAGTGCTTAGCTTTGGGTTCAATCTTGCGGTTTCTTTTCCCAGTGACAATAGGGGCAGCAAGGCACGTATTGTATTGTTGTCATCGAGGATAACAAGATGGGGTTTTCATCATATTGCATGAATTTATCCCTCTACATAATGTCATCTTGCTTAAGGCGTTACTCTGTTTTCATGAATTTAATACTCTAGATGCATGCTGAATAGCGGTCGATGAGTGGAGTAATAGTAGTAGATGCAAGCAGGAGTCGGTCTACTTGTCTCGGACGTGATGCCTATATACATGATCATACCTACATATTCTCATAACTATGCTCAATTATGTCAATTGCTCAACAGTAATTCGTTCACCCACCGTAAAATACTTGTGCTCTTGAGAGAAGCCACTAGTGAAACATATGGCCCCCAGGTCTATCTTCATCATATTAATCTTCCAATACTTAGTTATTTCCTTTGCTTTTTTACTTTGCTTTTATTTTACTTTGCATCTTTACCACAAAAATACCAAAAATATTATCTTATCATATCTATCAGATCTCACTCTCGTAAGTGACCGTGAAGGGATTGACAACCCCTTATCGCATTGGTTGCAAGGAGTTATTTGTTTTGTGCAGGTACTAGGGACGCGCGCGCAACCTCCTACTGGATTAATACCTTGGTTCTCAAAAACTGAGGGAAATACTTACGCTACTTTGCTGCATCATCGTTTCCTCTTCGGGGAAATCCAACGCAGTGCTCAAGAGGTAGCAAGAAGAATTTCTGGCGCCGTTGTCGGGAGGTTCGCGCAAGTCAAGATCTGACTCCCGACAACGAGCCATTTCTGGCGCCGTTGCCGGGGAGTCTACGCAAAAGTCAATATACCAAGTACCCATCACAACCCTTATCTCCCGCATTACATTATTTGCCATTTGCCTCTCATTTTCCTCTCCCCCACTTCACCCTTGCCGTTTTATTCGCCCTCTCTCTCTATCCTCCCTCTCTTTCTCTATTTGCCTCTTTTTCGTTTACTTATCGTTATGGCGAGTCCTCTATCTTCTCCGTTGTCTCCCGAGAATGAAGTTCTAAATTTTAAGCAAAGGGAGGGAGAAAATCTAAAAGACGCTTGGTATAGAATTTGCAATACTCAAAATAGATCTACCATGAAGCAATCTACTTCCGCTCTTCTTCGCAATTTTTATGTAGGCGTTGCTCCTTGGTACAGATATGTCCTTGACACCATTATCGGAGGGAATTTCTTGCGTAGCCACACTTTTGATTCTTATAATGCTATGATAGATTTATTTGGCTCACCACCTCTTTTGGTTAATGGAACTGTATTAACTTTGGAGCATGTAATGCAAAGGCTCGAAATTATTGAAAATAAGGTTGCTACCGTAGAGTCAATGGAAAATTTGGATAAAAAGATCCACAACCGAATCTCTCAATATGGATCTAAAGTAGGAGTCACTTTGAAAAATATTAAAGAGAAGGAACCCATAGTTAATGATAAAATAAATCAGGATTCCACTAGAATTGATAAACTTGAGGGTATTATTACCAACTTGGGAACCGCTTTTTCTTCCGTAAAGAATACTCCAAGTCCCCATACTAAAATTGCCAAGCTTATGTATGTTCCTAAAAATAAGGGTGAATCCTCTAGTAAGGAAACCGCGGACCTCAAATCTATAAGTATTCATCCCAATCTTGTTACTATCATTAAGAAACCATTTGTTACAAATGCATTTTTCGATCTTGTGCCTAAAAGTTTGATAATAACTAAAAAGAAAGAAATTCCTAA